ATATATATATATTGTGTGTATATATTGTGTGTGTGTGTATTGTGTGTATATATTGAATGTTAGGTCTTGTTGTATTTTGATTTGTGTTTGTTCCTCGATAAGTGAATTATGACTTAAATTTATGGATGTTTAAGTTTTCCCAGATGTCCATACGGTTTCCCTTATTGACTTGTTTTATGAGTTTTCCCGTGTTAGGAATCACACGTTAAAAGGTAAGACCTCGTTAATCCTTAGCTCGCACAAGTTTCGGCTTCTGAGGGTTGTCGTTCGTAGGGGTGCGACAGCTGGTTAACGGAAAAACAGATTTTAAAACAGATTTATGTTCTCTGCTGGAGGAAAATTATGTTTGTTTGTATGTATGTATGTATGTATGGCGTGTGTTGCGAGGTTCGATTTATATATTATTGAGTTTATGTATGCCTTTTTGTGCTCGTCGTACCTTTGGATCAGTGTTTTCTTGGTTTGGCCGACATAGCTGTTTATTTTTTGTGTTATTTTCGTGTTTGTTCCTTGTTTTGTATTTAACTATTGTATTTTGGGTGTATCTGTTCTCGTTCGCTATTTGGTATATGATTTTCCGTTCCTTGTTCTGGGCTTCATTGCTAAGTGGTATCCTTAACATTCTGTATATGAATGCATTATAGGCAGCCATTTTGTCTGATAATGGATGGTCCACCATACCTGCAAGTTCAAACCATCCAGCATCACACAAAATGGCTGCCTATAACGCATTCATATACAGAATGTTAAGGATACCACTTAGCAATGAAGCCCGGAACAAGAAACGGAAAATCATATACCAATTAGCGAACTAGAACAGATACACCCAAAAGACAATAGATAAATTAGAAAATAGGATCAAACACGAAAATAACACAAAAGATAAACAGCTATGAAAAAGAAGAAGACAAAAAATTAAAAGGGTTGTACATCATACAATACTTGGACTGCAACAAATTCTAAATCGACCAAACCCAAAAAAACTGATCCAAAGGTACGACGAGCACAAAAAGGCATACTTAAACCCAATAATATATAAATCGAACCTCGCAACACACGCCATACAAAACAAACATAATTTCCCTCCACCAGAGAACATGAAACTCATAAAACAAGTCAATAAGGGAAACCGTATGGACATCTGGGAAAACTTAAACATCCATAAATTTAACAGTCATAATTCACTTATCGAGGAACAAATACAAATCAAAACACAACAAGACCTAACATTCATTACACAAAACAATACATACTCCTAGAAACAGTAAACCTAGAGAAGTTCCAACACAAAGAATATTACCTGTTGTAACCCAAATAGAGGCAAATTTACCTAAAGTACCTGAAATATCTACGCTACTTCTCTGTAAATTCTCCCAGCAATGTATTTCTTGAAACGATACCAATAAACTGCTCAATTAATTTCACAGTTAATACGGATAACACTGTTGACTTGATTAATGACGACAAGGCTAACCAAAATGAGTTCAATGTATCATTGCCAAGAAATAGTCAGAACCAACTCAACTCTGTTATTAATATTGAAAGAAATTTTTTAGAGAGTGCTCAGTTCCAAGCAACGGAAATTTAGTGTCAGTTTTAACAGTCAATGTACAATCTCTTCAAAACAAAGTTGTTCAAAACAAAGCTCAAAACAAAATCCATAAATGTAAGTTTTCTAAAGAGAGACAACTTGGAGGAGAATTTGTAAAAAATGACGAAAACTACTTGACTTAATCTTTATCAAGATTTTTTTCAAATGATTGTGAATGTGGAAGTTCGGTGAGTATGTTCCATGTAAATATGCAAAGTATTGGAAATAAACTGGAACAAATCGAACTTTTTCTGAATGATTTTTCATTCGATTTCTTTCTCATATCTGAACATTGGCAAAGCGAAGAGAATCTAAAACAAGTAAACATTCCTGGATATAAACTTGAATCTTTTTATTGTCGTAGTTTCATTAATGAGCATGGTGGAGTAGCCATGTTTTCTAGAAATAATTATGAAACAAAAACTTTGAACCTTGAAAAGTTCAATGAGAAAGGACATTCTGAATTTTGTGGTATCAGTCTAACTCAATACAATCTTATAATTATAACAATTTATAGATCCTGTAAAGGTATTGAAATAATTTTTCTTGAGAATGTTGAAACTCTATTAAGTGAAACTGCAACTGCCTCGGATAAAATAATATTTTTTGGCGATATCAATATCGAGTTTCTAGTAAAATCATCTTTATTGGATGAACTTGAAAACACCTTGTTATCCTTTGGACTAACTATACTTATCAAGGATGCTACTCGAATCACTGCCTCCTGTGTGGTATGCTGAGGTTTTTTTTTTATTTTAATGATTGAAAGTTAACTTCAAAATACACCCCCAAATCGCGCACGATATCATTTATCATTTCAATTTAAATTATTATTATTTATGTAATATTCGTGAATCAATGCAATCATTTACACATTCAACAGTTGTGTAAAGCCTCAAATCCTCTACAAACATCAACCTCATTGCCATTCAATGATACAGAAAATTCGTTGATGAAATTCAAAAATAATAATGGACCCAAATTTGAACCTTCTGGCACTCCACTAGTAGCTATATACATATCCGAGTTGAAGCCGTTATAATATCGGATAGAAGAATATTACTGGAGTTTCTTCCCAACACCAAATTATTATTTTTAATACCTCGACACGTATTTCGATCACCAAGTGATCAGCTTCAAGAGGACGAGTAAACTTGAAGATGATCACTTGATGATCGAAACACGTGTCGAGGTGTTAAAAATAACGATTTGGTGTTGGGAAGAAACTCCAGTAAAATTCATTACTACACCAAAGGTTCTATTTTACATTTTATTAAATAACATTTCTGATAAAAATGAGATTGATCAGAAGCAGTAAATTGGCTTTAGATCATGAGTGCAAATCCACTTTAGATTTTAGATTTTTCTCATTAGCATTTATTCAGTTGAAGATTGTGGAATACCATTTCTGTCTGTGCATTACATGTATATTATTTGGCCACAAACCGTCTTACTTGTCTTTTAGACCATAACAGCTGTTTCTTCAACCCAGTGCAAGTTCTCTAAACTAAATTTTATAAATTAAGATTACCCAAACTTCTCTTATTAGTCATATTTCCACAAAATTATTAAACCATCTAATGTGTTAATGTGGATGATGATGTTATGATAAAAATGGGAATAGTCTGATGACCTTTCTCTCACATTGTGTTTTCTATTTTTAGTTCGTGGAATGCACGAGATTGTGATTCACTCATCACTTTGATGGACTCTTGGAAATCAGTTTTACCACAATGGATAGTGGAGAATATCTTGGATCAGCTGATAATGCCGAAGTTAATCACTGAAGTTGATAATTGGAATCCTCTCACCGATACTGTACCAATTCATCTTTGGATACATCCGTGGATTCCACTTTTAGGTGAGTTTGTATTTCTTAGTAGTATTTTTTGACTTGTGTACTAAAAACAGTGAATTCTTATGGTCTTCGTATCAAATACTACTGAATTTCCGTCTGTCATCTCCAACTTGTGAACTCATTTGATAGACATGCTCCGTACAGACCCATTATTAGCATAAAATTAGATAAGTGTTGTTCTGTAATGCTGAAAAGCACTTTCAAGAGCAGATATTCTTCTTCTACAGCTTCTCTTCAGAATCCAATAACATCTTTAGGCTCAAGAATTTTAGACTTCTTGGATTTGCACTGTCCCCATCTATTATCTTTTTCTTCCTCGATTTATTTAAGGCTTTATATTCGTTTTCATGAATTGATCTTGACTTTGGTGAAAGAAATTTTGATAGCACCTCAGCTACTTTATCCTCTAAGTCGAAAGGCAGTTCTTTTGCTCCACGTCATCTATTTCTTTGCCGAACATCATTTTTTGCATTTTATCCAGTTTTTTCATGCATCAATGAAAATTTTGGTAATGAACAAATCCAATGTCAACTCCCTAACAACTCATAGCAGATTTTTCTAAAGCTTTTTATTGTGTGTCACATGAAATTGAAAAGTTATGATATGAAAAACAAACTAGTTTTCTATCAATCAATATCTCACTTGATCATCAGTACAAAGAAATTTACAAAGAACTAAAGAACAACTATAATAATCTAATAGAAAACGCCAAGAAATATTACTACAGGAAGAGAATTGCACAATCAGACAACAAAACCATAATGATGTGGAATTTAAGAAGAAACGGGTTCACTGCATTGTAATCAGATAGATACTGAAAATCTGGGAGAAATAGCTAATAATTTTAACAACCATTTCTCAAATTTAGCCCTCAAAATTTTGTCAACACAAAATAATATCGGTAAAGTGAGCGGTTTTGAGAAGTCGATAGCCTCCAATAGTCACACCTTGTTTTTGAGTCCAGTCACAGAAAATGATTTAATAGCAATTGTAAAAAATGTGAAAAACAAAAAGAGCTGTGGAATTGATGATATTCCAATACGTATCATTAAAAGTTGTATATATAAAATAGTTAGTGTTTCAACTCATCTAATAAATATGTCATTCGAGCAAGGAATTTTTCCTGATGATTTGAAGACAGCTATTGAAAAGCCACTACATAAGAAAGGAAGTTGGTCAGACATTAATAATTTCAGACCAATTAGTCTTTTGACATGTATTTCAAAACTATTCGAAAACGCAATGGCCACAAGACTAACATTTTTCTTCTCAAACTTTAATATATTTTATAGTCACCAACACGCCTTTGTTTGAAGGTGATTGACAATGTTTCATGATGAATTTCACTAATTCGGACTTCCATTGTCTACTATATAAAATTATTTGAAATCCCTGAAACAACTAAAAAAGAAGAATTAAAAATGAACGGCCTACTTAGAGACAACACCATCAAGATCCTACCTGCAGATAAAGGAAACGCTACTGTGGTAATGGATACTGTCCTCTACGAACAGAAGATCGAAGAGGTTCTTCAGAAGGGACGATACACAAAGATTGTACGGGACCCTACTGCATCAATCGAAAGGAAGTTGTACCAGATTTTGAAAAAACACCAAGTCTATTTTTCGGACAAGTAAAGATCATCGCTAACATCGCACCACAGTAAGCCACCTCACTTGTATGGACTACCCAAATTCCACAAGGACTTCCGCTTAGACCGATCATCAGCTCCAGAGATTCGGCTACTCAAAACTTGCCTAGATTTTTACTTCCCTTAATACAACCATTACAAGGAAAAACATCGTCTTTTGTGAAGAATTCAAAGCATTTTGTCGAACTACTAGGGTCAATTGAGGTCACACAGGAAGTTCAACTAATTAGTTTCGACGTGGAAAGCCTTTACACAAACGTTCCGGTCGAAGAAGCACTCCAAATCATACAGAGAAAGCTATCCGAAGACGGGAACCTGAAAGAGAGGACGAATCTACCGATAGAAGTAATCATGGAATTACTAGGATGCTGTGTACGAAACTGTTATTTCCAACTGAAGGACGAATTCTTTACACAAGATGAGGGACTGCCAATGGGATCGCCACTTTCACCAGTCACAGCCAACATATATATGGAGTGGTTTGAAACTCTGGCCATTGAAGAAGCCCACAAGAAACCTCGAGTCTGGTTGAGATATGTTGACGACACCTTCATAATATGGAACCATGGGAATACTGAACTAGACGCCTTCCTGAAACACATCAACAGCGTGAAACCTTCCATCAATTTCACAATGGAGAAGGAAATCCACAACGAATTGCCATTCTTAGACGTTTTGGTGAAGAGGACCGACACTAAGTGGGAAACATCTGTATACCGAAAACCCACTCATACGGGACAGTATCTGAACCACGAATCCAACCACCATCAATCGACTAAAAGAGGAATCATCAAGACTCTATTAGACCGTGCTTTTGGGCTTTGTAATACGAAGGAAGGTCTCAAGAAGGAACTAGACATCATCAAAAACGATCTTCAACGGAATGGCTACTCCAAAGCGATGGTAGAAAAGACTTTGGCTAGAAGACAGCAGGAGCCTCGCAAGGAAGAGAAGCCGTCACAACCAGTGCTTGCACTTCCCTACATCAGAGGATTATCGGAGAGGATAAGAAGAATTGGTTCCAAGTACAACATCAGAACCTGCTTCAGATCCGGTAACACTATCCGTAGCAGCCTCACGAAAACCAGGCCACCAAACGCGGACTGCGATTCCAAGAATTGCATTTACCGGATACCCTGTGAGTGCGGAAAATCCTATATTGGTGAAACTGAGAGGCCATTGAATGTTCGCATTGCCGAGCACAAGAAACACACACAGCGAGGGGAAACCAGCAAATCAGGAATAGCAGACCATGTTTGGACCCATCAACACAACATCGAGTGGTCCCAAGCTGATATCTTGCACAGAGAGGAACATTGGTTTAGGAGAAAATTCAAGGAAGCCGCATACATGTTGTCCAACAACGTATTCAGCCAAGCCAGCGTAGAAATACGCAACATATGGAAACCCATCATCAACAGAAAAATGGCCAACTCCCGCCAAAACGGTCATCTCCCACGGAACCAGTGAAGCGGAAAATGGAAAGCGGGGATAAGTGAAAGTACTCGAACGACTTATAAATAGTCATCTCTCAGAGGAATCAGTCAGTCATCACCCGAAGACGATTGTAGATACTAACAATCGAAACATTGTGAACTAACGTGACTTTCTATTTTTACTTGTATTTTATTTCACTATTATTTCATTTCAGGTTTATTTTGGGTAATATAATTCTTATTTTCAGCTATTCATTTTTAATTCTTCTTTTTTTAGTTGTTTCAGGGATTTCAAATCATTTTATATAGTAGACAATGGAAGTCCAAACTAGTGAAATTCACCAACACGCCTATTTGAAAAAGAAATCCATTGAGACAGCTCTTGTTAATTTTAGTAATGAAATTCTGGAAGCAATGGAAATAGGGGATCTATCCTGTGGAATTTTCATGGTCTTATCCAAAGACTTTGATTGTATAGATCATTATCTTCTATTAAGCAAACTTTACAAATATGGAATTCGAGAGAACCTCTATGACTGGTTCAAGTCGTATCTAAAAAACAGAAAGCAAATTGTAGAACTGAACTTGAAAGGTACAGCAGCACGATCAGAGGCTTTGGAGACGTCTATTTCGTCTACTATTTATTATTTATATTAATGACATTACTGAATATTTATTTTCGAAACATGATGAATATGTTGATGATACCACATTATTAGTTTCAATGGATAACTTTGCTGAGTTTGAGAATATCAAATCAGACCCCTTCTGAAGTCCTCAGAATTATTTCGTGTATATAAGATCATGTTTTGATAATGTTTAATTACAAGAAATTAAAATGAAATAGTGTCAAATACTTCTTACAAATTAAAAAAAAGTGTGAGTCTGTTCAAATTAAGTTTAATAATTGCTTGGATTGATTTGTGGTGGATCAAAAACAACAGTGACTTGTTCAGTAATATTTATGAGATAAACTTCTAAGAACAATTTGTTCAGGTCAGTCTCAACTTACCTACATTGTAGGTTAATGGACTGACACCTATCAGAAAACAACTACTTCCCTGGATGATACCACGAAGGGCGTTGGATTATATCCAACAGATGTCAGTGCAGGAATCTCCACAGAAGTTTTTCCAGCATATGCTGTTGGCGATACAACTACTGGAATCTATTTTCAATTATAGGAACGGTCATACTCGCAGACCGGTTTCGGGCTATTTGGCCTCTCGTCAGTGCAAGGTAGTGGCCATCATCAACCTAAAGTTGATGATATTCCATAATTAAAAATAGAATTCCTTTCAAAGTATGATTCCTCCAACCAAACTGAAGCGAACAACAAATAACAAATTTGTCATCGCTCCATCTGGTAAACAAGGTACTAACCAACCGCATATACAAAATTCCCCAGGAAGGCAGAACATTTGGGAATCGAATCCAGGAACATCATACGAGCTATGTAAATAAGAAAACATATTCAGATTTGAATAGATAACCATTATTGAACTTGTTTTCTTAAAAATCGAGAAAGAACTATTATTGATGTAGATGTGAGGTAATATGCTTCAGGTGATCATAATTGAACATGTACCTAAGGTAGAGGTTAGGTAATTTTTTGGAGGTAGTCTCAATCATGGTTACCTGCAGCATATTAATATTAATGTAATGTAATGAATCTGAAACCGGCCCTGACCGTTATCTCAAAACACCAAACATATGACTCATCGCAGTACATACAGTAAGAACAATTTGAAGTATAAATCACTCATAAAAGCTACTGTGCTAGCGAAACATGTTATGATATATTTTTCAAATGAAGTTTGTGGAAATCAAATTGTGAGGGGTAGTTTTTGAAATTTCTTCCTATGCTTGCAAGATTCTCACATTTTTTATATGAAGATGGAGAAGCAGAAATTAGTCTCTCCTAAAAATATATCCACTTTCAATTTAAAGAAACAATATGAAATTTATAGGACCTAAAAATGTACATTATCATCTAAAAAGTCAACTCAATCTGTTGAAATAAATCTCACATCTATATTTTTCAGAAAATCCATATTTTACAAAGGAATAATTGTCTATAATGAATTACCAAATGTTCCAACATAAAATGTTTATTGGCATCAAAGAACTATTTGTTATATCAATTTAATGAAATGAATAAAAATACTTTTGTCTAATTACCACTAGTTAATTTACAGTATCATATTTTTTGTTTTCGGACCAATTCTGAAATAGCTCCATATGTTTATATAAATAATTTGTGTATACATTCCCTGTATAGACCATTATAGAATAGTATAGAATAGAATATACTTTATTCGCCATAAAAAAATACAATAGTATTATAAGGTTTTGTCAAATATCATATACCTTAAGAATATCAAGACAATGGAAGTCCAAACTAGTGAAATTCATCGTGAAACATTGTCAATCACCTTCAAACA